AAAAAAAAAAAAAAAAGTTCCCCAGAATCACAGAGGAGGGGAGGCCAATTCCAACCCCAGAGCCACCACCCCAGAGACTCGAGGACACAGTGGCATGTGGCTGCTCTCCTCCTGCCTTTGGGCAAGGTCTCAGCTGTCCCCAGCATGGATTGACTCACAGACCCTACAAGGAAATCGCTTCCTTTCTGAGCAGGCCCAAGGGACACAGCCAGACCCAGGAGGACAGTGTGTGACCTCTGTCCCCAAAGCAGGGTTCTGTCACAGCACTTCCTCCAAACTCATGAACCTCTGCTCCTTCAGACCTCCAATTGAGACATCTTCTCAGCCACTTTCCCTGTTCCTCTATCCTTGCTCCCATAGCCCCAGGTGACCCCTCAGTCGGGGCGTATAACCCATGTGTTGTGGCTGACAGGACAGTGTCTGTCTCCACTCACGGACAGAGGCTTCTGGGATTCTGATTTGTGTGTCCCCCCTCGCTGGAATCAGCAATAATTAAGTGAGAAAACAAGCATCCACCTGGAGCCCAGGAAAGCTGCAGGCTCCAGCAGCTGTGGGAATGCTCGGTGCAGGCGAGCTTCCCCCCACGCTACCAGGAGGCAGAGCTAGGTGCTCCGCAGAGACCCAGGCAATGAAGGTGCCCACCAGGGGCCCCACACTTGGTTCCCCCTGGAGTCTGTCCTGCCGGCCCAGAGAGGACCTGACAGGGCGATGGCAAGATAGAGAGCTGCAGTCATGAATTTCAGGGTTCTGGAGCCATCCCAGTCCAGCCTCAGGGGCCTGGGGCCCCCTGCCTGCTCCAGCCTCCGAGCTCCCTGCTCCCCAGAGAGCTGCCCCCCACCCCTTCCCTCTCTCTGGCCCCAGAACAGAGCAAGCTGTGTGTACCGGGCTGGCACAGCTCCCTCCGGCCTCCAAGAGCAAACACAGGCCCAAGCCCCGGGTGCAGCCAGGCTCCACAGCCCCAGCCTGACCTCACTGTGTGTGTTGGGGGGAGCCTTGCACTTTAGCCCCTGTTGAGGAGGTTCGCACCCTGTGCCTCCTGAGCTCAGCAGAGACCCAAATCAGTCCTCAGAACACACCCCATCAAAGGCCAGAGCTCAGAAAGTAGGTAATGCAATCTTCCGAGTCCCGGGAGCCAGCACCTACAGTCTGAGAGGTCTTCCTGGGCCTGGCAGGGTCTCCTTGCAGCTGCACGGGCCAACGTAGGAGTCCCTGATTCAGGGAAGACCCACTCTCCCTACCTGAGGCCTGAAGGTACCCGACCCAGACCAGCCCCGACCCCTTCTAGAAGCTAGTGGCTTGCCCTTGGGAGGGAGCTCTGCCATCCCGCCCCGCCCATCCCTGCGTCCTGAGTCACAGGCTGCGCCCAAGGGCTTCTTCCCCCGGAGTCGCCCCCCACCAGCCCGCGTCGGCCCGCGGCCCTAGGATTTGAGGACATAGCGGGGAGAGGCAGTCGGCTGGTCCGGAGAGGGGCAGCGAGGCTAGAGGGGCTGGAATCGGTAGCCAGAGCCAGGCTGGAGGTCAGGAGGCTGGGGGAGCGGGTGGCGCAGCGAAAGGGGGAGGAGGCAGGGCCAGGGAGGGGCATAACAAAGGGGCACTTTTGGAAACCCGACCTGCCGGCCGGGGTGCCTGCTCCCTGATGACGCACTCCGAACCCCAGCCTTCACTCCGGTGCTCGGAGCCCAGGGGCTGCGCGCCTCTGGCCTCAACCCTCATGGACCGCGCCCCTCGACAGAACCCCTTGCCGCCCGGAGCTGCAGAACTCTGAGCCGGTGGAGCCACGCGGAGCGGCAGGGCCAGGCCTAGCCACCTAAGCTCTAGGACTTCTTGGCCAAACTTGTTGAACTTGGTCTCGGCGGGGGTGGGGCCACCGTCATCGCCACGGGGAGGGGACGCCCCCTGCCTGGGCCGGCCTCGCCGTGGACTCCAGTTGGTAGCCCCGGGCAGAGGACCCAGGAATCCGTGCTTGCTGCAGAGCGCGAGGGGTCGCCAGGGAGCGAGGCCCCTCTCGGGCCCCGGGACGGGCGCGAGGCGGGCGGATGGGGCCCTCGAGGGGCCCTGGAGATGGCTCAGCTCCAGCGCTGGCACCCCCTCCCCCGGGCGGCCTGCAGAATTGCGGAGCCCGCGGCGCAGCAGATAGGACGGCCCCTCGGCGCGGCTGCGGCCCTTCCCGTCGGCACGCAGAGCGGGGTGGCCAGGGGCTCCTGGGGCTGGAGTCGGCTCCAATGCAAACTTCAGGAGCCGGGGCAGGAGAGGGCGGGCTCGAGCCACGGCACCCGCCGCCGCGTCCCCGCGCGTCCCCTCCAGGGCACTCACCGCGTCCTCCTGGGGCACCTCGGCGGGCGGGGGTCCGGCCACGCTCCAGCCCGAGTCCTGCTGCTCCCGGGCCCGCGCGGCCGCCTCCCGGAGCGCGCCGGGCCCTCCCCCGGGAAGCCCGGCCCCCGGCCCCCGGCCCCGCCCTCTCCTGGCCACCGCTGCCTCTACCCCACGCGGCGGGGCTGCGGGGCTGCAGGCAGCGCATCGACCGGCGGCTCTTGGGTCGCCAGCCGGGAGTTCTCCGCTCCCGTGTGTAGAGCGCCTGGGCAGGCTTCCCAGGGTTGCGCCCCTGGGCCTCAGGGAGCCAGATTTCGGCTTTGCCCCTCCCCGACCATTGCAGAGCCTGGGAGACCGGAGCGAGCAAGAAGGGACCGGGTCGGCATGGGCAGCCCTGGAGCAGGGCCGGGGTACACTGCCTTACATTTTTGGCTGAGCATAGCTTGCTTAGAAATTGGCTCAAGCGAGGCTCACAATCACCCCTTATAAGCACTGGGATTCCCATTATACAGATGCAAAAACTGAGGCTCGGGGGCTTTTCAGCGGCGTGCCCAAGATCTCCCTCTAGTCCCGGCAGGGCCGGGACTCCAAAGCCCTGCCCTACCCTTCCACAGTTCCCCTGCTAATCTGAGGCGCTTTCTAAGGCCTGAGACGAACACGCAGTGGGAGTGGGACAAAAAGGTGTAAGCTCCTCCCCCTCCGAGTTCTTATTTCCAGATTTTGCACCGCGATTCATTTTTAAATCCCTTCGCCCCTTCACCGCCTTTATCAGTCTAGTAGATTTTTCCAGATCGCCACGATGCCACCCCACGCTAAATAAATTCCTTCCCTCTCCCCTCTCCCCGCTTCCCCCTGAGGGGGATACTTTGCAGAGCCAGCCCGTCTGTTATTTATATCCACTGGAGCGGTCCAAGAATGTTCCGAAGCTGACCTAATCGCCACCTGCTCTGCCTCTCCGCCCCTCCCGCTCTCTCCTGGGCCCGGTGACACAGCGGCAGTGCCCCCGAGCCTGGGAGACTAGGGGGAGCGCGGGCCAACGGAGTCGGACGCCCGGGATGCAGAGGGTCCCGGCCGCGGGTCGGAGATCCCCAGCGCTCTCCGAGGAGTGCGCCCCCAGGGACGCGGCGCTGCGCCCTGGGAAGCCGAGGCGACTCGCTGTGCTCGTCCAATTCCTCCCACCCCCAGCTCCCTGAGGAGTGTGTGAGTGCGCGCGGAGTTTTAAACGGCAGCTTTAAAAATAGCAAAATTACGTTGTTTCTAAATCCAGAAGGAATCACTGTCGCGTTCTTTACGCAGTTGAATCCGCTCACAAAATGGAAAAGGGGCCTGGAGAAAATGAATGGGGGTAATTTTACCGGTGAGGGCTCACTTGCTGGGCAGTGCTAATGGGAGGGTAAAGCTGCCTCCGCAAGACACCTGTGGGGCACCCAAGGCGCGCCACCTTTGGCCTGAGGATTCTGGCCGTGTTTGGCAAATCATACCTGAATAGTGAATCTGAAACCTGGGATGTGGTTTCTGAAACCAGTTTAAACACCCACTCTCGCTTAGGGCTTGGAGAAGTCCCCCCTCTCCTTATCTCTCTACTTCTGTAAAACATGGCAGGTGACCCGGCTGACCTTCCACTGAGCCATGAGCCCCAGCTAATTAATGATTTTAACAACAACTGCAGATCATAGGAGCTGGGAAAATGGCAAATGACAGCCACAGTGTTTTTTATTCTTTAAAATCACTTAACATCCCACCTAGCGCCTGAAGGCCTTTAGGCACCTAGACTGGAGTGTGAAAACACAAGAATGAAATTAATTACAGGAACTACCTATTAAAGCCTCATTAAAAATAAAGTTGGCAGCCAGGCTGTGGGATGTGGGAAAGCCAGGCCATAGAGAGACTCAGAAGATAGGGCTGTTCATCAGACCACAAGGAGAAGCGATGTGGAGTGGAAACCATCTGGCTTGCCTTGGGCTCAAGTCTGGGAGCGGAAAGCAGAAATGTTGCAGCTGATCTTAACTGCCCCTAAGGTACTGTAGGGGAAAAAAACAACAAAATAAAACCCAGAGCATAGGGTTCTAAGGTGAAAGTACACAGACACGCCCTTGGAAACCCAGCTCCAAGCTAATGATGCCCCCAGGGCTCCAATTCTGTGCTCTACAGCCAGAGCCCTTAACATCCATACTGCTCCATCCTTGCTGTCCCCAACCCTGAGTTCAAGAGATGTCCATGGATAGAGGGCTGCATAAAGACAGAAATCTAAGGCTGGGTGTGGTGGCTCACACCTGTAATCCCAGCACTTTGGGAGGCAGAGGCAGGTGGATCACCTGAAGTCAGGAGTTCAAGACCAGCCCGACCAATATGGGGAAACCCATCTCTACTAAAAACACACAAAAAAAATTAGCTGGCATAGTGGCGGGTGTCTGTAGTTCCAACTACTTGGGAGACTGAGACAGGAGAATTGCTTGAACTGGAGAGGCTGAGGTTGCAGTGAGCTGGATCATGCCACTGCACTTCAGCCCAGACGAGGGAGACTTTTTGTCTCAAAAAA